AAACATCATTTCACTTTAGAATAAACCTGAAAACAATTTTGAAGGTCACTTGCTCAGAGTTAAGTCTTACAAGGAAAGAATAAACGGTGCCAATGAATTTATCTGGATAAACAAAAAAATAAAACACACACCTGGGCCCTATAATCTTAAAAATACAAGTGGATGGGAGAGTGGCTTATGGGGTACCCTGACCACACTGTTCATCTTATACTCAATATAGTCAATTGAAATAACAGGGAGTTTTCACTTCAATTCCTTTCAAGTATTATCTATTTTAATATATTAACAACTGTTTTGCTGGGTTAATCTAAAGAATTATCTTTTAAAAACAGCCTGCTTTTTTGAATATGACAAAACAAAACCCCCATTTTTCTTCTTTCCCAATGACAAACACATTCAAGAATCTAGCATACTGCATAGTTCTGGAAAAGTGCTCTCACAGTCCCTTTGAGAGGGACACAACAAGCCAGGGAAGGCACCTTGCACCTGAGACGCAGCACATGCAAACTAAACATGCATTAAGTCTGGCTTGCTCTAAAATTCATACTATGAAGTGCGTTTGTGCCTGAAAACTTGCAATTAAAGATTTTTTTTTGCAAAAATCTTTTTGGTCTAATAAAAGGTATCATCTCTACTGCAAGTCCTGATTACTGGGTCCAGAAGAATTTAGGCAAGTATTTGCACAGACTAAACATACAAATGATTTTCAAAGGATTATCATGATATTCTATACTTTTCTTTTTTTTTTAAAAAAAAATCAAGTAATTGTCATCAGATTAAGATCATGCTGTATCTGACGCATTAAAATCAGTTTGAGGCAATAATCGTAGCCATTAATGTTCTATAATGCCTCCTACTGAAGTTGTGTAGTAAATATAATATTCCTACAGCAGTGGAAAATAAAAGGAAAGAAACACACATGTCCACAAACATTCATGCAACTGGTGCAATGCTTGTGCTGACTTAAACACTCTAGTACATGATTCTCAACCAGGATACCCAGGCACACTGAAGTGCTGTCAGATACTTTGGAGGATGCTGCTAGGTGTGAGGAGATGCACAGATGCACTAAGCAGATAAGCCAGGCTCAGGCTTGTCCTTGCTTAAACGATCCCTGACCCCTACTGCCCAGCCCCTGTAGGCACTGTAATATATAAAATTAGTTTTTTAATTTGGCTGCTACTCAATTCACAAAACTTACAGAGAGATGCCTTGAGTCTAAAAGGGTTGAGAACCACTTCTCTTGTAACAGGCGTGAGGAAGTATTACAAGCATTATTGTCACTAAGGAGCTGCAGCAGACACCCTGCAGAATCGCACAACAGTGAATCCTTTCATTCCTCGAGCTGAATGCCCTGTGCACGTGGGAACCATAAAGTTTTTTTGTGATATCTGCTTTGCCACATGAAATTTCAACCGAGTACAATATACAGCATATTTACAGGGGTCTACTGGGCTGATGTAGGGTCTATAGGTGTAAGTGTAAAGACTCACTGCCAGGACAGCATAATCCAGTATGCAAAAAGAAGAGAATAAGCCCAGTTCAGCAGTCAGCCTGCCATTAAGGGCAAAATATCTGTGAAAAGTATGTGCAAGTGCTGCCCACTCCCCAATTTACAAATTCCAGGTTATCTGGAGAGTGCCATTTGTCTTTTCACTCTTTCCTTTCACACAGTATCTTTACTGGGTTTTAGTATGTGCTACAGTCCCTGCCCACTAACAGAAGGGCAACTACAGGAATCTGATGAAGTAAACTGCTGCTTACAAAAGCTTATGCATTTCTCATTTAGTTAATCCAGTTGTTTTCAACACACACCTTGGAAAATGCCAGTGTTTGGATTAACACTTGTTTTTAGACTACAAAAAAAATAAGCAATTTTTCTGATGTAGACTCAGAAAGACTATAACAGATCAGAATATTTTTAACATTGTGGATTCTTATTTGAAATCTCTGGCCGCATCTAGATGAATGCAGAACTTTGGTTCCCTGGGGACAACCAGCAATGGGACATTTTGTGCCACTGCTAATCATCTCCAGGGAACCCCCATGCCATAAATCCTCTGGTGTGAGGCAGGTTACCTCAGGTGGGGTAGAGAAGGCTGGGCCAGCAACTGTGCTGGCCCCAGTAGCCTTATCTGGGGTCTTGGGAGCCAGGGAAGCTGCAGCCACTTCGCTCCTGCAGCTTGGAGCCTGGCCTGCAGCTGGAGTGTGGCTCTGACTGGCCACGCTCTGATTTTGGGCAGCACGCACTGCCTGCATATGCACTGCCATTTTTTTTCTGCATTTTTTTTTTTTTTTTGACCCCTGAATCTCTAGGGGTCAACCCCGCTCCCCTGCCCTGTGCTGCAAGTTAGCAGCACGGGAAACATCTGTGTGTGGTGCCGCAGATGAGTCTGTGGTGCTACATACCACATGACTGCACTCATTTGGATGTGGCCTTTGGGTTTATCTTGTGAATCGCATGTAGGTGTTTACATACTAACATTCCTAATATTACACGGACCACTAAGAAGGATCTCGATGCACCCTGGCTGCAAATAAAAATAGGTGAAAACAATGAGACACCTGGAGCCTTGGAATACTAGTTATTCTAGTCTGGACTTCAAATGCTCCATAACCAAGCAATTAAATCACCCTAAAAAGAACTAGAAGCTGCTGTTGGAACATCCCTTGAGAGAAGGCGCTAGAGCTCTTAATAATAGACAAGGTCTGCCTTAACAATGGCCGTCTTACCAATCGGAACAAAAAGGCAGGATTGTTATAACAGAATAAGTGTACTGAGTCCCTGAAAGTACAGACCAAAACCCAAAAGGAGCTTTTGGAACACTGGATGACAACCAAGAGAGAAATTAGCACACAATCTTGTGAGATTTTACACCTATACACCTCTTGAACTCTGCATTTTTAAACCAACCATTCTGCTTAAGTCTATGATCCTTGCTTTAGCTGGTTTAATTTGAAGGATAAAAAAGTAATCTAAATGTTCACAGCTTTGTTGGAACTCTTGTGGAGCGTGCAGTTCCTACTGATGCGGCTTGAAAGGGCCAGTACTAAGTTATGGGACCTCAACCTTTAGAGCAAAGAGTCTGGTATTTTAATAAATGATGCTAACTAAGTGTTCTGTATACCAAGAACATGTTCAGAAGCCCAAATTTTGAGACAGACTGGATTGCATTCAGACCCAGCCAACCTAGGAACATGAGAGACCTTAGGCTATTACCACATCCTGGGAAGATGCAAGACCAAAAGGGGGAACTCAGCAAAGTTCACATAAGAAGATCTCTCCTTACTCATGTTTTAGCACCTAGATTTTGAGACCAGAAAAGAAATCTAGAGCTTGGTTGACAGCAAGAGAAATTGAAAATGTCCATATAGCTTCACAAAAGTTATTTTCTCTTCACTATAAGCACTGTCTATGTGCATCCAATCTAATCTGGAAGAACCATTTCTACAGGTGAAAAGTTAATTTTTATAACTCTGTCCTTGGTGTTTCTACTGAAGCTCTGCTACCAGTCTTCTGCAAAGATCTGACCAACAGAAAGTGATACAGGACTGACTGTTGTCAAATGGAGAAGACTTTTCAGTTTGGACCTGAAAAACTATATGCAATCTTTTACTTGCAATCACTGATCCTCTATGGTATAAATTCTGGTTTTACTCCTGGAAAGTTTCAAAAGCACCTTCTGCCAATAAATGTATAGCACATATTCACTATTTGATATTACAATTTAATAGAAATGATAAAGAAAATACAACCTAAATTGGGCCTTTCTTCTTTTCTGCAATTACCACTAGAGTAAAATATACTACTACCCTGCTAAAGTTACCCTTTCAACATTTATCTGTTAACCAGAGAGTACATTTAAGATTACCTTCTTGAGATCCTTAATATAATATTCTATTGCATGCGTGACTAAGTTAATTATTAAATGCACTAATTTGCAAACAAAGATTTTGGTCCTTCAAACACTTATTAAATACTTACTAACTGCTAACATATAAAAACGTGTTTAAGTTTTTGCAAGACTTGAACCTTAGTCCAAGCATCTCTCAAAACATTTATCAGGCTAGCCAAATCTTCTAGAGATGTGTGTCAAAACAAAGAACTATAAAATATTTTGTAGTTTTGGCCTTCTATTTTTAATCTTTTTCAGAACAAACCTTATGTTATAGTCCCATACAAGGAAAAATATTTAATCGTTACTACCCATCTCATCTGATCCAGATTTGGGGTTAAAAGATACAGTTCTACTAGAAATAGAGTGAAACATGATTGTGCTTGGGTGCCTATATAGACCATGGGGTTTATCCTCATTAAATTAAATAGGTTTATCAAATTTAAAACTTGTTTATTTTGGAGTGTTGCACCAGTGTTTGCATGCACTTTGTTTTCAAAATAATTAAGCCTGGCCCCTGGCCACAGCCAAAGGAAAGCAAGATGGTCCACAGATTCATAGATGTTAGGGTCGGAAGGGACCTCAATAGATCATCGAGTCCGACCCCCTGCATAAGCAGGAAAGAGCATAAGCAGGAAAGAGGGCTGGGTCTAGGTGACCCCACCTAGATACTCATCTAACCTCCTCTTGAAGACCCCCAGGGTAGGGGAGAGCACCACCTCCCTTGGGAGCCCGTTCCAGACCTTGGCCACTCGAACTGTGAAGAAGTTCTTCCTAATGTCCAATCTAAATCTGCTCTCTGCTAGCTTGTGGCCATTATTTCTTGTAACCCCCGGGGGCGCCTTGGTGAATAAATACTCACCAATTCCCTTCTGTGCCCCCGTGATGAACTTATAGGCAGCCACAAGGTCACCTCTCAACCTTCTCTTGCGGAGGCTGAATAGATCCAGTGCTGCCTCCTTCTCCCCCACAGCCTGGGGCCCCCCAATCCATGCTCTGCCACACAGCTGTGGGAGTACAGAGCTAGCACATGCCACAAGAAAAAACACAAAGCAGGAACAATTTGAAAGTGGAAGCAATTCAAAGGGGTGAACTACAAAAAAGGTCACAGCGCTATCCGGTGGACAAAGAGGCTCATTACATGTCTTTGAGTGCCTTTGTGTTTGCACACAATGAATCCACAATGAAGGCCCTTTTAATCTATACAAATGGAGTCTTGTCTTTTTTTTTTTTTTTTTTTTTTACTTTATGATCACTTTGTTACTAATCACCCACTGCTGCCATTACCACCGTCTTCAAAACAAAAGATATCCTCACAAGTGCAAAGGAACCCCATAATTCTTAAGTATACAATTCTGACAGTATTCCAAAGGCTCTGACTTCAGTACATGAGACCAGAAAGAGCATTTGCTTCAACTGAGAAGCCAGCTGCTACAAATATAGGCAGAAAAATTAAAATGCACTAGATGGCACTAGTGGAGACAGAACTGACACTGAACACATAACTGAGTAAAGCACAGAAGGCACTATTAGTATAAGAATATAAAGAGGGAAAGTTTATTCAGACAGAATGATGCGGGGCAGGGAGAGGGGAAGAAAATGGGAGGGAATTGATTTAATCTCAATGATAAAATTTTAAACAATACAGATAAATGCTAGGATTTGCACTTGAAGCTAAGAATTCTCAATGTACTATTATAACTGAATATTCAATGTTATAAATATCAAGATAGTAACAGATATAGTTTCTCCCTGTAATTAATGCTTCTTAAACATATATTTTATATTTAACTGGGTACTGTTAAGTACAATCCTTTATAATATATATTGTGGCAAAAATTAAACATTTGCAAAAATAAAACATTAATTAAAAATTTAAACACTGAATTAAGCTACTTATTGCTTGATTTTAAAGAAAACCAGTGAATTGCACATAAATATCTGCATGTACCTATACTATATGGTGTGTCATAAATGTACTTTTATTGCTTAGTAAATAAATATGTGGTTATAGTAAAGCTTTAAAGTTTAAGCAGCAGCTTTTATTTCAGTCGACAGTACTACCAGAATAGATTACCCAAATGTATTTTTCAAATGTTTAAGCTCTTGAATCTCCAAGTCCAATTTTAAAAATAAATCTAGGATACTCTTCATGACTACTAAATTCCCAGCATGTCTAAAATCTTAAGCTAAAGCGTTATTGAGTTGCTTAAAACTTCTGTTATCTGTGTGAAAGTCCTCAACCTCAAAAACTCATGTAGCTGATGGAATCTAACCTCAACTTCCAAAATTCTAATGTTTGGCTTCGCAAAAATTTAAAAAATATCCATCTGAAAATCTATTTTTAGAAAGCTGTAAACACTGCAAATTGGCTCTGTAAATACTTTCTAAAATACTACTACAGCGTCTCCATGGTGAAGTTACACATCATATTTTCAGTGTCTATTTTACAAAAGTATTTTTATAAGAAACAATGACTGCCTGTGTGGCTTTAGATATTACAAATTGCTTTAAACAACAGGAAAGGGATTATTAGCTTTCTACTATTAGAGGCTTAGTTCCAGTTATGTGGTCAACAGATACCCATAAAATACAATATATTTTTTCGTAACTATTACGCATTCACAGTACAGTAGACTGCAGTTAAATACATGGATTTGAACTGTTTAACGGTGAGAGTTGGGGCTACTCCCAATTGGTAGAACCACCAGTGACACTTCACCCCTTACGAAAAATCACTTCTGTTAAATGCAGTATTTAATTGAAAGATATTTATAAAATATTTAATATTTATATTTCCTTTTTAAGTAGTTAAAGTTAACATCTTTGAGTCATAGCACACAAGTTGACAATAGTATTTTAAATGAAGTATGGATGGAAAGTTTAAAAGTCTCTTCATTCCCCCAGCTTGCCTTGAACACTGGCGTCTGACTACAGGCATCTGAAAGCTGGTTCACCACAGGTTAGGTTGCGGAAAAACAAACTATTTCAGCACTTACTGTTAGTTTTTTATATTATTTGTACATAATATGAAATGATCAGAGACTAAGGTGGCCACTTGACAGGTAAAGTTCTTCTTTTAGAGTCTTATCATATTAAATATACCAGTTATCAAATAATTTGTCCAAGTTCAAATATTCAAAGTAAAAGAAAGGAAACAAGTTTTTACTTCCTTAAAGGTTTGTCTTTCACTGAACCCTCTACTTGCTGCAATACCAAAACACAATACTCCATGTCAAACTGAGCTCACATTTCAGAGACTATGACAGATGCACTAGACAATTAATTCAGTCTCATCTGGAGATTACAGCCTCATATTTAAATGTATGGTATTGTATACTGTTGTGATACCTTAAAGCAGGGGTTTTCAATCTTTTTTAGTCTAAGTACCCCTGGCAGCTGGATGCCGAGTTGGGGGGGGGGG